CTTTAAATATACAAAAAAAAACTTTCTTTAAAAAAGTTGTTGCCATGGAGATGGTAGCCAAATTGGATATTGTTGATGTGTCTTTTAAAATGAAAATGTTACTTATTTTCAGTGAAAATAGCTTATTATTTTGCATACATACTAAGAAACGATAGCTCTACTAATGGGTGGGTTGTATTTTTCCTTCACAAATTAGAAACTATTTAATGAATTTTTCTCTTGAAGCAGTATTCAGGGTTGGAAAAAATCAGCAAAATTTCATACTCCAGACACCACTAACAAAAATCAACTACGTATATCGTAAATTCAACAGACGATTTTGGAATGTTACGTCGGAACATTTCATGAAGATTAGATGAAAAATGACGGAGTTATTTTAAAAAGCATGTTGAAAAAACGGCATTTTAAGAAAACAGACGAAAAAAGGGGGAAAAAAAGAGGGACTTTGGAAAGATTTTAATGATGACTAAAATGCCTGTATGTGATAAAGTAAAGGTTTAGGGGGTTCTTATGTGATGTAATAGTTGTAAGAGAGGCTGAAGAATCCAAGAATGCCCACATCTCAAAATTGATCATTTTGACCCAAATCGGAACTTTCAGCTGAACTGTCAAAAATATTATTTTGTTATTGCTGGTGGTATATGAATGGACAAATGGTCGCTTTTAAGGACAAAAAGGCTAACCCAGATTTCAGGGGGTTTCCAGAAATCTTGAACTACCCCAAAAGTGGGCATTGCCCTGCCAATAAGAGGAGTTTGGTTTCATTGGTGTGAATATTTGTTTGGTTAGAGAAAACTCTCCTTGTCTTTAAAAAAAAACTGTACAAGGGTCCAAAAACTTTACCTTCGATTTTGTCAAAACAGCATTTTTCAGGATAGCCCCCTTGTGCTTAAAAAAAGCGACCATTTGTGCGTCAATCTTGTGTGTCTTGATATATTGTAGTCATTTTGTTATTGCTGGTGGAATATAAATGTACAAATATGCCTCATTTTTCGTTCTTTTCTCCCCCAGAGCTAACTCTCCTCGCGTGGCAAATGGCGTCAAGCCTGGCACGCTGCGGCCGAAGGACGACCCACGCAGCGACAGCACCTTGAACGACGTGCCATCCAGTCTGAACAGCAACGACCTTGCCGCGACCTACGACATCTCCGACATCGAGACCAGTCTCAGAACGATGGACGATGACGACGACAATGCTTCTGACGCCACGGGAGACGAGAGGAGGGTCAAGGTCGCGGCGGATGATGACAAGGGTCAAGACGCATCTGAGAGGTCGACGGCAGAGTCGGAGAGAGCGTCTTTACTTCCTGCCTCGGGTTCGGCGTCTTCCTCCAGCGCGAAGACTGCGGGTAAAGGCTCGGCTGCCGTGAAAGACTCTGCCCAAAAGTCTCGGGGCAAAGATGATGGCGTTGACGAGGAGGAGGAAGAGGAGGAGGATGATATTGATGAAAGTGACGTATTGCTCAGGTCTGGGGATCGGGGTCAAGTGTCAGACAGCAAAGGTCACGGGGGTGGTTCTTTAGACGTATGAATGAGACGTGAGCGTTAGACAGACGTGCAGTTGGTAGGAGAAGATTCCCTGGTATTTTATATATGGGCAAATGAGTGCCAGAATCTAGTAAATCAGATCCCCCCCCCCCCCTTTTTTTTCTGCGTTTCGTCATCATACTGTTCTACTGTTCTGAGCCCAAAAGGAAAGGCAAAGTTTTCAACAAAAAAATATAAATATTTTTTTTCCAAGGAATCTCAAGCTTTGCTTTGGCAGCCATCTTCTTGTTAATTTTTCTATGGCAAATATCTCGACTTCTGTTGAAGAAAGAAAGGGAGAAAACTCTTTTATTCTTTTAACAATAGTACCAACATTATGTATCTTCTCTTGCTTTTTTTGTTTCCAAATTTAGAATTTGAATTTCGACCAAATATTTTTCAAGCAGGTGCAACCAATACCTCAGGTAAAGAAACTGGGATAAAAACGAAACTGTCCAAACTTTGGGCCCAGGACATTTGAACAGCTGGCTGAGAATTTATTATTTTTAGCCTGAGGGTTGCAACGTTTGTAATCTTTTCCACCTGATCCCAGCAACTACTGGTCTGACTAGGGTGTAGAAGGTCTTAACGGTAATAACGTCAAGGACATGAAGTACTCGTAAAAGTCCAAAAAGTTCCAGGTATTTGTTTTTTCTCATCGCCAGTTATCACCTATCCCTGGCTATTATCGCTGCCAGCATTGTTTTTTTGTTTTTTTTCTTTTGTAATTTTTAAACCGTGGCTTTTACTAGGGTGGATTTTAAAAGTTTGTGAGTTCTGCCAAAACAAACCTTTCTGGGCAATTTCGACTTTATTCTGCTGATTCTGTAGTTTTCCAAATTTGAAGAAAAAAACTTTTATCAGAACAAAAAAATGGTACATAACAAAGAGAGAAGAGAGATGCTGTGAAACACTTGAGCTAACAAGATCTACGTTCTCTGAAGAATTCTCTTAGCGTGCTGGTCTATCCCAATAAATTGGCGAGAGACAAAAATTGTTCAAGATGACCACCTGTTGTTGAGGAGAACAATTGTTGTCTTAGACAGGTGAATGTCTTGGACTGTGTCAGTATAATGCAGAAGATTCCCTTGATATTCTGTTGCAAACAACCAAAAAAACAAAACAAAACAACCCGTGAATTCTCAGGCTGAGAATGTTGTGTGTTTGTTCTGCCTTATCTTTGCCACCAGCGAGTGTTTTGGGTGGGTGCTGTGCGTTGAGTTTGCTGCAATTGTGGTTTTATGTTTTGTGAGGAGTCTGACAGCTGATTGGTCCATCCCCGCAGAGTGATATTTTACTGGTCAATGGTCAAATGTCTCACAGCTCATTGGTTCTTTCAAACTGGGTGGTATTTTACAGCTTAAATGTCTGACAGCTGATTGGTTCTTTCAAACTGGGTGGTATTTTACAGCTTAAATGTCTAACAGCTGATTGGTTCATCCACGCAGAGTGATATTTTACAGCTGAAATATCTGACAGCTAAATTGGTTTGTCCATGTGGGGTTATATTTTAGGGCTCAAATGGCTTGTATCTTTTGTCGAGAAGGGCAATTTACCATGCCATGTGCAAAAGTTTACTTAATTTGCTACAGAGGTAACTGATGTATTTGGAAAGAGAAGTAAGCGTGGGGAAACAGTAATCCACACTTTTGTTTGTCAGCTTTTTTGTAGATTCATATTGACATGCTTTATCTGAAGTCTTTTAAAGACAGCCTTTTTTTAATATACAGTGGAGCCCACTTAAACGGAACTTGATTAATAAAAATAAAAACAGGCTTAAACTGACAGAAAATAGATTCCCTTTTTTTTTGGGGGG